ATATATATATATATATATATGTATATATATATATATTATTTTCTCTCTTTTTTTCTTTCTTTCTTTCGCCTTTCTCTCTCTTTTCCTCCGCCTTCCCGTCAAAAGAAAGAGCGCGTCTCGCGCTCGCGCGTTAACGATACGAGCGGTACGGTTTGGATTGCAGGGAGCTACCCACCTCGATGGGTACGCCCCACTCAAATTTTGCATTCGCGGGACGTTGCCAACTGTACCACAAGTCCGCCATTTCCCTCAAGTGCTGGCGCATCTTCTGCTCGTCTTGCTCGGACATGTGCGTCTTGTTGATGCGACATCCGGAGGTGCTTCTCCGCGGCTGTTGCAAAGGCACGTCGTTTTCGTTGATACAGACATCGAGCGGGTTCATCCGCCACCTCTCCAGCTGCTGGTAGTGAGTGCTCTGCGTGGCGCACTGCATCGTCTTCTCCGCCGACGAGTTCCGCCGTTCCTGCGCGCCGTTCCTCGGCTTCGACGGCTGCTCATGCTGCTGTCTCTCCGACGACAGCATCGTCTCGTCGTTTTCCACGCCCTTGCGCCCCTGCGCGGAGTACCGTTGCCCGTCGAAGATGGACGAGGTATCCAGGCTGCTGGAGGAATGCCGAGAGCTCTTGCGCTCTTGCTGCGCTATCGTCGGCGACGTGCGACTCGGTTTGTATGTCACATTGGGCAGCTCCTGTGCAACGACCGCCTGCGGCGCGTTTGTGTCGGACATCAGCCCCGATAGGCACTCGTTGTTGGAATGTTGCTTGCTGTCCTATTGAGATGTTACAGGAAGGAAGCAGAGAAGTTAATTTCTCGCGTGGATTCCCTCTTCGGGCATGCATGAGTATTGTAACCAACGTACCTTCGTGTGTCTGTTATCAGCTGCAACATTCGGTGTAGTATCGCAATTATTAAGGAAACCGATCAGGTCCTTCATTTGTTCGTAAGTTTGCGCCTCGTAAAGCCCAATATCTAAACAACAATCGAAGATTCTCAACTGGTCGCAAGGTATTGCACAAATGTATGGGTTTCGAGTCATCTATCTGCTATTTTATCTGACGTTAAAGCAATGCCAAACGATTGTCTCTCTCTCTCTCTCTCTTATTTCGGCTGTCTCTCGAACACCTGCGACGATCGCAAATTACGCGCAATTACATCTCACAGTGATCTCTCGAATACGCTGGAGCCACATGAATCTATTATGCATGTTATACACTTGGCAAAGCGCTAATGTGCATGACTGAACTCGACGAGGTTAAGTTCGCAGCACGTTATTCCAAGAATTCCGATCCTCGCAACATTGTTACACCGCAATCTACAAGACGCAGGCAGACCGACCGGAAGATACAATCGGGAAGTCGATCGTTCGTTCATCGACGGTAATTGCAAGTATTCGTATTGCGGAATGTCGTAATACGCGAAACCGTAAACACCTCAATTTACCCATGAGTTGCTGTCTCATCTTCTTCTCTTCATCTTTCTGCACGGTCAGTCGTTCGTTCTTTTCCCGCTCCATGCCGTCGGACATGTCCCTTCCTCTCTCTTTCTTTCGACGCGAGTCCGGGACGACGCACTACTCACAACGATCAGTCCCGATAATGTAATATAAATACGAGCCTCTCTGAACGATTAAGCATGCCTGGTCATCTCTCTCCCGTCCTCGCCCTTCTCCGCAGATCGACTCGATACGCCGAACGTATGATGATGCCAAGTACCCCACTCGGGTATCATTTGTCGTATATTATCGTGATATCGACGACGTGCTCTCGTTCGCTCGCTATCGACGAGTCCCGAGTGTCAACGAGAACTTGCGCCGGCGAGTTTCATTCGCTTTACGTAATCATTCCGCGACCGCGTATCTCGGATTCTGCAAATACGCAACGCAACAGAAGCGGCGAACGGCCATCTCGCTCATTAAGTCGCATCGAAACGTGTGTGAATCGTATTGAGATTTGGCGGTCGAAAAATTTGCCGTACACTCGCGCCCTCTCAGCGAACTGAAGCGAGAGACGCTAACCTCTTCGGACGGAACCTGAGGAGACTCCGCGGATAATCGGAGAGCGTCGACGCTTGTTAGTTCCTCGTGTCGCCTCGGGTGGGCGCTGAAAAGAATTCGACAGCTCCCCCGCGAGCACTCGTGACGCCGCGTTCGTTTGTGTTCGTTATCGTCGGCATTGTACCACGATCGTTATTCCGGCGGCGGCGGGACAAGCAGGAAATATGATAATTACCCCTATGGTTGATTAGTCTAGCTGTCGTTTGATAATAACATGCTGCTAATGTATGATAAGCTGCGCACGTCTGCAGACCAGTCGTCCGAAGTAAGACCGAGCCGAGCGAATAATCATCGACGGGACACATGTGTCATCGTAGAATAACCTAGCGGCAGCCCCTCCTCCCCCCCCCCCCCTTAAAACAACACCCNCCCCCCCCCCCCCCCCTTGACGCGTCAACACGAGTGTTGCTTTAAGTGTCGGCGCGCGACACAAGCAGGTATTACGGAATTTCACCAGACGGAGATCTCACATTAGCCGATCGCGTCGACGTGTCCTGCGTGTATGTACGCGCGCTTTCAGTGGTAATAACGATTCCTCCGAGATAACGCGCTGTCAGCTCAGAAAGAAATTTGTGAATTCTCTACCGTCGTGTTCCTTGGTGAAATCTGGATCTCCTTGTTGCTCTCCATTGAAAGTACGTTCGCACGTACTTTGTATCGCATTGCCGATGTTACGCTACGTTGTTCTCCGTTGTTACATTCGCCAGTTGATGTAGATTTCTTGTCCTCACCGATCTTGGAAACTCGAGCGAAACTTACGACGACAGTTTCGGGAGGGTGCAAATACAGAGGTTGTCATTTGTATCTTTCGGTTTTTGTTTGCGCAGCAACCATGATCGGAGTATATCACCTTGGATTGTATTTGTTGTTATTCGGGAGCTGCATCGGCAATTACGTCACGTGGGACCTGCAACTGTTATGCTCGGACTTGTACCCACGGGTGTTCACGAGCTATGTGCCTCGTGGCAACTTGACTGGCGGGAAGTTCACACAGCAGCCTCGTGTGTCCAACATGCAGGACTGCGTCATAACGTGCTGCAAGAAGTCCCTGTGCAACGTGGCGTTCATGCACAACAGCACGTGTTACCATATAGAGTGTGAGAATTCCATGATGTGCGTGCCGTTGTACAGGCCTGATTTGGCGAACGACAATCCACCCAGTATGATGCTGGTCAGACCTGTGGAGAACGACAAGATGTGGAACGACTTGTTGGATCAAATCAATGACGATGCGGTCGGGTAAGTTAAATGCATCTGAGCTAACAGCCAGCTTCTTTTCTTTTTAACGCATCGTCGATTACATGATGGGATACTTAGGACGTTGAGCACAGACGGCACCGAACAGGATCAAATACTGTTCAACGAGGCGAACAAGAACACTTGTATGGATCAGTCGAGCTGTTTGGATAATGAAATCTGTATGAAAGACAGGGACACCGATGTCGGAACCTGTCGGTGTCCTCTAGGCTTCAGGCGGAATATCGCAGGTGAGCTCGCACCATCAATCATTTACACGATCGAGCAGAATAGATGCTGCCGTGTATGTATTTAATAATTTTCTTTCGTCATTCCCTCTAAGGATTTCTCTCACATTCGCTCGGTTATTGAGATAAATGATCAATCATTCCGCGATCGATCGTCTTCGCGTTTGTCGCTGCAGGCACTTGTACAATGATGGACGAGATAGAGAATACGGAGCTGGGTGTAACGTCGCAGCCGAAAGTCCAAACCATGAAGGATATCAATACATCGGTGAAACCTACTGTGAAGCAACTGCTGGTCTCGGCGGTCTCCAAGGAAGTGAGAATGCCGGAAAACGAAGTCACGCTGTCCGCGTACACTGTGCCCGCTGAACAGGGCAATCAGCATTATAATTACGCCTGGAGTCTGCTCAGTCAGCCGGAGGGGCATACCGGGACGATGACCGACCAGAATCGCGTTACCGTGAAGCTGAGCAACCTGTCAGAAGGCTTGTACACTTTCAAGGTGGCTGTGAGCAGCCCGAACGCTTACGGAGAAGCCTACGCTAACGTCAGCGTTTTACCTCGTAAGTGCTTTCGGAAGCTTGGACTCTTATTGTCGGCTGTGCAGCATGTCAACATGTCGAGAGACTGTCGAATTTCCGTTTCAGCGAAACGTCTCAACCAGGCGCCGATCGCCATCATCTCCCCCGCCTCGCAGATCGTCAAGTTGCCGAACACAGGGGCGGTCTTGGACGGCTCGAATAGTAAGGACGACGATCGCGTCGTCTCTTATCACTGGGAACTGCAGCAAGGCCCGATTGGATATCAGCCCAACCTTGTGGATACACCCACGCTTCAACTAAATAATCTCATTGCCGGCAATTATACATTCAAGTTGGTCATTGTTTGTGTTCAAATATTCTCTTCTTCTTCGCCGATAAGTTATATCTGTTTCGAGGATTCACGCAGAGAAATATTCCGAAATTTCGGTTGTGGAGAACTCGTGAAAGAGATGTATCGACTCCTCTTTTCAAAGTGAATAAATATATATTTGTTTGAATAAATATAATTGAATAAATATATATTTGTTACTGCGAACATACAATGTTTGCGTAGAATTGGAGGGATTCTCAGCGATGTAGAAACTATTATCTCTTTATATCTTTTCTGCGGGCGGTTCTTCTCTCGTAAATCGTGATGTTTCTCTTCAGGTTAACGGTGGAAGATTCGGATCACATCACCAATTGGACGAGCGCCAATATAACGGTCCTGAAAGTGACCGACTACCCACCCAGTGCGAACGCAGGCCAGGATATCATCATTTACCTACCTCAGAATACACTGACGCTCAATGGCAACTTGAGCACTGACGATCGAGGCATAGCGAGTTGGGAGTGGACTAAGAGCCCGTCCGATCAGAATAAAGCGGTGGATATGCAAAACACGAGAACGCCTTACTTACAACTGTCGAATCTGGAGGAGGGAATGTACACGTTTGTGCTGAAAGTGACGGATAACTCCGAGCAATCCTCGACGGCGGAAGTACACGTTTTCGTGAAGCCTCCGACAAACAAACCACCGAAGGGTATTGAGATCATTTCCTCACCTAATTGCCTGATATAGGAGATCAGTGGGAATTTCGAGGCGAGAAATTTCGACTCGCTCTCTCCATAGATGACTCCTCTTTTGGAAGCTGGAAATATACAGTCTTTCATTAACTTTCTGATCAATTAAAATTTTGTTGTAGCTGATGCGGGTGACGATGTAAGCATCGCATTGCCGTTGACGCGCGCTGTTCTAAATGGTACAAGAAGTAAGGACGACATAAAGATCGTCTTGTACCATTGGGAGCAAGTAAGGTATAACTTTCCTAATTCGCTATATCATACCGTTGCGTTGCCGACGTACGTTTAAACTGTCATGCTGCGTGTTTGTCTTCCTGTTACAGCGGGCCTAACAACGCCGAATTCGCCGCCGTGAATGAGTCGGTTACGAATATCACGAAACTGACGAAGGGCGATTACGTATTCAAGCTGACCGTTGTCGATGATAACGGGAATGTGGATTCTGATACCGTCGATGTGAAGGTAACACAAAGTATGTGTGTCTCGCATTTTCTTGGTGTATATATCCAATCGCAATTCGTGCGTGTTACGAGGAATCTTATTCCTCAGACAAAAATGCGCCTCCGAAGGCGAACGCTGGTGGCGATCAGATTGTGACGGCACCGATCAGCGTGTTGATCATCAATGGCTCGCAGTCGAGTGACGACTTGAAGATAGGACAGTGGTTGTGGACCAGAGATCAGTCTAGCCTTGCAATTGGCACCATAGTTCAGAACACGGACGAATCACCGGTCTTGATAGTGAGGACGCGATTGATTCGCTTTACACTGCAAGAGTAACCCAGAATGCGTATATACTATTTTTGCTCTCTCTTATTTTACAGTTAACCGACGTGGTCGCCGGTAGATATGTTTTTCGGCTGAAAGTAACGGACGACCAGGGCCTCAGCAGCGAAGATACCGTGTCGGTGATCGTGAAACCTGGTCGGTGCTGACTCGATACATGAGATATGTTATCATCATTTTGTAGCACCGACCTTTTCTGCAAGTTACGTCTTTTCGCCTGTTGCAGATCCACAATTGTTGCATCTGGTAGAATTAACGCTGAACATCGGAGCCGGTATGCTAACCGCGTCGCAGAAGAATTCGCTGGTGGTGAAACTGCAGATGTTGTTGCGAGACGAAGCTTCGATCGTCGTGCGCAATTTGAGGGCCGAACCGCACACCGGGAAGGCTGTCTTGGTGTTTTACGTGGAAAAGAAAGGAGGGAAGACAGCGTTGCCGGGTCCGGAAGTGGTCAAAAGACTGAAGGAGAAATTGCTTCAAGACTCTGGTCTTTTGCAGCTGTCGGTTGCTAATATCGACACTGCTGTATGCCAGAACAATTGTTCAGGTATGTGATACCGGAACATAGAACTTAAATATGGTAAATAGCATGGGATAACTGCGTTTGTAAGAGCTGCATCTGCAGTTATCTATTCTGAAAAATCGAAAATTCATAAACTACAGGATCGAGGATGTCCAAAATTTCAAAAGTCCTAGAACTAACGTATCTCGACGATGTTGTGTTCAGGTCACGGCGTGTGTGATCAGGAAACGAGGCAGTGTATGTGCGAGGCATTCTGGATGCAGAACTTGATACAGAAGTATTTTGGCAACGGAGACTCCAATTGCGGTACGTTAAATCATCTTTTTCGTCCCGACGGAGATGCTATCGTCGCAACTCCGAATTATGAGGTGTTAGAAAGCAACGATATATATTAAGTAATTAAATTACTTTTCAGATTGGAGCATTCTGTACGTGATAATAGCACTGCTATTGTTGGTCGTCTGTTGGGTCGGACTTATTTGGGGATTCGTTTGCCTGTGTCAGAGGATATGTGCCGGCAAAAGGCGCTCGCTTCGGCCTAAGAAGAAACCAGCGCGTTATTCTCTCCTGCAACCGGAGCCGGAAGACGACAGCAGTGCATGTAAGCGTCTGTTTTTCATCGTTTAGTCTCTCTCGGAGTGAGACGACANCTTTGGTTTGCCCCCCCCCCCCCCTTTTTTTTTTTAAGCTGAACTGACTGCATTAGAGATCAAGAAATTTACGCACACCGAAGCATGAGAATTTCGTACGTACGCTTCGTACGCTTCAATGTATACGCACATTTCTTAAACAGCCAGCTCAAGAGAATAGACCATTGGTATTGCTCGAAAATATTTGAAGATCACATCTGTGATTTTTAATTGTTGCAATTCCTGTTGCAGTTTCGACTCACAACAAGATGGTGCTGTCGGAGTCTGATACCGACTCTGACGACGTCCTGTTCGAGCACCGTAAGAGTAAGAACGGTAATCACATAAGAAATGGCAAATCTCGAAATGGATTCATCAAGATCGGCCCTCGAGTGAAAACATGAGGTAGTAAGTTTACGATTCATGTTGCGATACGTCTCGGATTCTTCTCGGCTAAATATTACTAGACTTATTGGAAGCGTTGAGTGTTTGAAGTTTGGCAAGTTTAATTGTTTGAGAAGTCCTCCCCTCTCTCGAATATATCGACAGCCCGTGCAACTAGAGAAAATAAAAGGTGAGTTGGAATCGAGGTGTCACTCACTCCGATTTTGCATATTCCACAGATTTCGCGGCGACGGCGCAACGATAAATATAGCGCACAGTTGTGTGTAAGTTTGGCCAAACTTAAAGTACTAGTCATGGAGAGTGTAAGTCGAATTGTGTACCTTGCGAGAACGATACGATTCCTCAGAGATTGGTTAACAATGTTCTAAAAGAGGTAGATATATTAAGTATTGTTTATTGATACACGAGAACGACAACAGTATCATATACACACACACACAACATATACATTCTACGTCATACAAGTTACTTAATTTATCTTAAGCATTAGTTTTATCTCCTGTGTACTTTTATCACGTGATTCACTGGCTGTGCCAGTGATCGGTGACGCGATTGCAAACGTCGCATCGAACTATTTGAGAGCTTGTATTATTACGGCCTTAGAAAGTATTTAAATTAATACCGATATGTATAGTAAACACTCTATCACGTCTGTATGTCATTTACATGTACTGCTTACTCTTTAATATGTACATTGTCTATCTTATTTTTACACTCTATGGATACTGAATAAAATTTGCTATCCATGCGTGTGTCTTACATCAATTTTCTCACACGTCCACTTTGATTAAACGTGCGAGGTAATTACCGATTGATGTTAATTGTCTTCGACAATTCACACGATTTGCGAATAATCCCCGTCTAACGAGTTATCCTTTCAAGTTTACAGAGAAACTTATCGTCGAAGGCAAGTTCCGTCTCCGTTCTTTCACCGACCCATAGACATCAAATATTTCGTTCACCCAATATGATTTGTAGGTTCTCTCATTTTCTCACAAGGAGTGACAGAGCAAGTCTTTCTACAAACAACCCGTTGGTTGGAAATGCAGATATCAAAGGCGCGATGAACGTTTCGCGATTCAAGGCAAGTTCCGCGCGCGTTTTGGCTCGCAGCCTGCGTCTCGATGTTATTTTTAACCCGCTACGCTGTGATGAACGAGTTTCAAGTAGTTGGGGAGCCCTCGAGCGACCCGTTGATCCCACATGCGCGTCTCCCAATAACTATCACTTCGGTGAGTCATTAGCGTGATTTCGACACATTCGTCGATCTGTCGTATTCTCACTGTCGCTTATTTTGTCGCGCAGCATGCCGCAATCGATGGATCTCGCAAACTGTTCGGCAAAGCGCGCCTCGAAGAGTTGCTGCGGCCGTGAGACTGGAATAGGCAACGAGTTCGGCAGTTGCGATCACATTTACGCGAGTTTGGTCGAGTGCAACAGCAAAGGTATAAATAACGAGGAGGTGGCCGCGAAAGTCGAACCAGCAACGATCGTCGCGAATAAACGGTGANAAAAAAAAAAAAAAAAAAAAAAAAAAGAAGAAAATTATTCGGACGAAGAAGTTACGATTTATCGTCAATCAAGTTACTCGTAAAGTGAAACTAAGAATAGAATCGAAGCGTTATTTTCTTGCAACGCGTCGTCACACAAGCTGATCATTTTTTTTTTCCAGCAATGAAGATCCCAGGAGGAAGGCGGCTCTTTCTTGGCCCCCCAAGATCCCGGCGCGTCAGCCTTCGCCCGTTTTGGATCACAAAATGAGCGGTGAGGTCGACGAAGCGTCGGCGGAGGTAACGCGCTCGCCGTGCAGATTGTCGCACGACGCGGACTTTCAGTGTCCCCGATGCGGACGGAGGATGGAGGAGCCTAGGCTTCTTCCTTGCTTACACCCTATATGCCTGTCGTGCGTCTACGAATTGATGAACAGACGTGAGTAGGCTGTCGTTGCTGCGTTAGCAAGATTAATCATTAAAAAGGTCCAATGAAAGCCTATGCACGGTTATTTTAAGCATCGCGATTTGATCGGTCGAGTAGGACGTGTCGATGAACGGTCTTGTGTGTGTTTGCAGCCTCGTACGTTTCCCTGGGCAGCGACACGCGGGACGACTACGGTCGAACGTACGCGACGGCAATCGGCGTTCGCGAAACGTGTCCGTTGTGCGACTCGTACTTGCCGAACGTGAGCTCCCCCGTACCGCCGCCGCATTATCCCTTGCAGCATCGTTTAGTCATGGACACCGTGCGGCGCAAACTGGTTAACAGGGTGCTCTGCGACACCTGCGCAGCCGAAGTTCCGGTAAAATGCGATGCGATCAGATTGAGCTGACCGACCACTCGAAAGCAGCTGTCATTGTTGCCCGTTTCTAGCATTACGATTTAAATCTAATCGACGATCGACTCAACGGAATTGACCAATCTCATTGGTCAGTTCAGCCAATTGGCCGATGCGATTGGTCAATTCCGTTGAGCAATAGTCGATTTAAACCGTGATGGTAGAGACGAACATTAGAAAAGCTCTATCTCGCTAACACAAGTGGAAATGATCGACTTTTCAATTATTGTTGAGCTACAGAATTGGACATTGATGCTGACAATTCTTATTATTATTTAGTAATATTAGTTTGGTGAAAGTGGTATTATATCGTTGTTTGGTATCACGAATCTTTTTGTCTCGATTGAAACACGGTTTTATAACGGAACATACTTCTGAAATGGAATGCAAAAGCGTGAGATATATCTTGTGAATATTAACTTTCTGTTTGAAGGCGCTCATACAGTGCTCCACGTGTTTGCGTAATTTCTGCTCGGAATGCGGTAGGCAACACGAACAACAGAACATTGCGGAGGCAAGGACGACGAAACATTTGATGAGACCACTGTGGGAGGCCACCAAAGTACGACGGACGATTCTGTGCCAGACGCATCCGATACACGCTCTGAGATTTTACTGCATCGCGTGTCAGCAGGTTTAGCGAGATTCTTCTTTTTTCACGCGCACAACAGTATCGAAACGTATAGAAGTATAATAATTATAGCTTAATAGCTTTTTATTAGAATAGCATGTTGGTAGCATTAAGAGCGCACGATTTCCAGGTAACGTGTAAAGAATGCATGTGGAGCATACAGCATCGAGGACACGCCAGCGAAGACGCTGTCGGGGTGGGAAAGCGAGCTGGCGTCTATTTGACAACAATGTTGCAAAGGGCGAGAATAGTCTTAAATAATCTCTTGACTCAGTACGACTACGATGTATTTTCTTATAACGCCTTCGAGGAACCGCAGAACATAGCGAAGTCTTACAGGTACGTGTGTCCGATTTTAATCTTATATCTTATCGCAAGCTGGAAGCTATGAATTGCTCACCCTGGGCGAACGTGCAGCCGTCCTACAATATTCCAGAAATTTGTAAACCTTTGCTTCAGTCGCAATAACTAAGATACGACGTTTCGATACATGAGGCCGCGTGTCTTATCTTGTTGTACTAAAGTACGCAATTGTCATGTGATCAATATGAAAGCAACGAGCGGGTAAACTTAGAAAAAGGAATAAATGTTACGATGTAACTGTCATTTGAGGTACATCATACATTCCATGTAACTTAGGATGTATTTTGTATGCCTAGGCTTAGTTTTAAGTATTTTTACGTATTTATAATTAGTTCATATTGATGTATCATGAATATAAACATGCAATTTTCATTACCATTCTCCTTTTTCCCCAACAAGACATTCCCTTAAATCGGTTCATATACATATCAATCATCGTTACTCGGTGAGACGCCTCTTGGCCTCTTTAGAATTATTAATTTTTAGTTGGCATCAATTATCACAGGATATGAGTGTAATTTCAGGACATTTCATGGGCTTCGATAAGCTTCTTCGATAATAAACTTCAGCAATCACTATTTTTATCAGTTCTAGTTTTACTGGAGGTAAGAGAGACAATAGATTATCTGGAGATATGATATGTATAAATTGAAGATATTTACGTTTGGAAAATGATACCTCCGCTTTTCTTATATAATTGATACCCGGCGAGAAAAAACTGGAATACCCGAATAAAATGTTCTACCCAGAAGATGTTATTTTATTATCTTATTGAGACTTACAGCGTAAGTTGATGTATGGCTTTTCGCATGATTAAGCAACGTCCGTTACGCAATATGGATCCGCAGCAAGACCAGTGGTTAACACCCGGATGTCCGACGTGTCCATGGCCGCAACCTCTATATCCACCTTTACAGAGAGAGAGAGAGAGAGAGAGAGATCAAAACACTTTTGCTTATCTTTTAAAGCTACGAACAAGATACCCTTTAAATTTTGCTTTTATTTCAATCTTAACGCATCTATTTGTCTTTGAGCTCTCTTGGTCGTACCTGGTCTACAGCTACTGTTTGAAGATTTCATTAGCTAAGCTAAAGCAATATTTACCAGGCATAGTGCCCCTGCAACCACAGGTCACTTCCTTCCTCCCACCGCTGGAGCAAAATGTGCAGCAGTGATAAATACCGGCGTGCGTGAGCCTTGAGGCAGATAATCTCGCGTTTCTGTACCAACGTTCTGCGGCAGAATACAATTTTGCTGCCACTTTCCACGAGGGAAACGCAAAGCACAGGTAAAGTACGTACCATCTTCTCTATCTGCACTTACGTTCGTCACACCCAACTTATTTAATCTCCTCACTATTATGCCGGCGAGCGTCAGTATTTCTATCTCGGAATCGTCGGCGAGCAAGTCGTTCACCAGCGAAATGGCATCAAGAAGACGCCTTGCTCTCCGTAATCGGTCGAATTCTTGTATTCTCTCTCGGGCTCGTTTCACGTGGTACAATAAGACATTGTAGTCCCACAGATTCGGAACGTCTTCTGCGCTTCTCTCGGCGTATCTGAATAAGAGAAACTTTTGCTTACATATCGCTGTGGAATAAAAAATTTATAATCCACGTAGAAACAACAGACGTTGGCTGGCAAAAATTAATCAAGTCAAAACGCTGCAATGGCAAATGTGGACAATTATGCCGTTCCCTTTCCATATGTGTATTTTGATACATATAACGTTTAGCCATGAGACATCGTACAAAATATTATTACACGATAACGAATCTCACGTTAAGCATTGTCATGTGATATTTATCTTAACGTATTGACATACCTACATTATCTGTTACCGTACAAATGTAAGACAAACGTATTTCATTGTCATTTGAGGTACTGACGACGTATCGGTGGAATCGATAAGATACGGTTTAAACGCTTATGTTTATTAGTAATCTTATTTAAAGAGACGTTATTACATAATTAAATTAAAAAATTAAGCCTAAATAAAACCTGCCTGGGCCACAAACCCATGGAAAAAAGGAGGGAGAAATTTGTAAGTAAATTATATGTGTGGGTCTGATTACAAATTATATATAAATCATTTTTCACATCATTTCCTGAGATAGAAAAATACTACTTGCAATGCAAGCTATATCTACAATTCTTTTTTGTACAAGCGATAAAAGTATTTTGTAATCTTGTTGCTGAAATACATAGGCGTTATATGCTGCAATTAAGAGCCACTCCCAGGAAATCCTCGAATCCGATGGTAATTGTTCCACTTTGATCCGCGTCTCTTAATCTAAACGCCTCTGTAACACATGTATATTTTAATAAAAATATCTGGTTGAATCATCCTCCAAATTATCAAAATTTAATTATCTCGAGGTAATTATATATTGGATAAAAAATAGCAATCTTCCTCTCTACATAGATTAATAAACGAAAATATTTAACGTTATCTCCTCTATATATTACACATATACAAGTATTTACCCGTAAACCTTTGTATTTGAACACATAACACTATGAATTGATCGATAGTAATGGACCGATGACCCTGGAGATCACTCTTCTTTATAAGAAATTGGATGAACTCTGCGCTGAGTCTGTAACCCATTTGCGTCAGAGCTGCGCTTAATTCATTCTCTTGTATACTGCCCGAATTATCGTGGTCAAAGCCACGAAAAACACCCAGCCAGGCGTTCACGTAATTGAAGAGAGCTTGAAATTCTGACACGTTTATTGTACCGTTCTTTTCCTTATCAAACATACCTGGTGATTAAATAAAATGATCTTTGCCAAGAAGACCCCATTATTATTTTAGGTACAGGTTAACATATTATCAATATAACAGCTATATGGAAAATAATGATAATAAATAATATAAGCATACCGATCATTAATTTACACGCTGTGTCAGAAAAATGGCCACCCTGGCCATTAGCCAATACAGCCTGTAATTCTGTGGCTGTTATTCGCCCGCTCCCGTCTTTGTCCACCGTGGAGAACCATCGCTGAATGTCAGGATTTATCTCGGATCCGGCAACAGTAGAGCCGTACATCGTGTTCTTTAAAAAACAAATAGGTTATGCGTAAAATAATAAATTTCAATAAAGCCTACAAATACAGATCAAGAGTGATTTTTTATAATGATCGTTAATATGTTAAAACTGTCAACACACGTCAAGCAGCAAAGATAATGCGAAAACAACAAAACATGTGTCAACCATTATTAAATCGTGCTTACGCATATATGCGTGTAATTGTTACAGTCGTTATTTAGAATTACCGGATATGCCATGATTGAAACTCCTAATTACACGGGGGCATTTAAGTTACGCTGCAGTGTTTTTTTTTCTTTTTTAATTGTCACACAAGACTCGAGGTTAATGATAGCGTTACACAAGAATCGAACACGTCAATAGCATACTTTTCTTCTGGAATGTACTTCGAAAACTGGAGGAAATCTTGATTCTTGTGACGTAAATATCGGGGTACTTTTATATTTGCAATTAACTGTTGAATAGAAACTTCTCCTCGCACATCAATTAGCAAAAACTCTCCATGATTCTTGGTAGCGTTGCGAACAAAAATACTCCCACTTGGATTTACACAGAAGGATTCATGCAGTTGAACCTACGTCAGGTATAACCCACGAGCCATAAGAAATTGACCGATCGATTAATATCTCACATTCAATAGTGATTGGTCAATTTCTCACGGCTTAAAGATTATTATACTTATTGTAGACTCGGCTTTAAATACCTATGTCGGTGATAAAGCAAAAAAAAGTATAAAGACTTCCTCTTTAACTACACATGCGTGAAGAAACCGACGAATCCCGTGTCTGATATAAAATGTCATATTTGAGACGTTCGAATAGCTGGTTGGTCGATTCCACCGTCCAGTGCGAAATCACCTTGAACAGACCTTTATGACGAATCTGGTGTCTTTAAGGTCTGTTCGTTTTAGCGGAATAAGAAAAAGTGATGAAACCAAGTGCAGGAAGATGCAGCTAAAGCGAACAGACTTGTCGACCAGTTTACGCCTATGTAGTATGTGTCAATGATCCATCATCTCGTGGATTCGATAGACGACGTTCAGAATCGGAATCGTCGACAATAATTCGAAGGCAAAACGTTCAGCTCAGACTTCCCTCGTGTGACGATCGGCGTGTTCATCGAATAGTTAACGAACAATTAAGTCGCCGACGGATAATCCAGCAATCGGTCATTAGGTATGATCTTGTGTCCGAATCACATAATTAGGATCTGACAGTTCGAAAGTCATCGCGCTTTGGGCGTGATTTACGCCAAATAATATCGTATTTTGAATATCTCTTATCGCACTTTAATATCGTAATATGATTGGTGTATAAACGCCAAGCGACGTGTCGAAGGCATCACACGATATTTTAATCGTACATGCGCATGGTATAATTGAATGCGAAGCTTCGGTGACTGGTCTAATTCTTTGCTAATTGAATTTCGCGTGATTTTGATTCCGTACTTTATGATTGAGTTTTAAATCGCAGGATAATGTAATTTCTCTATTTTAGTGCACTTAAGTGGTCATATGTTGTTTCGATGGAAAAATATGTCTCCATCAATTTACATGTATATATGTGTTATTTCGAAATAATTTGTCACTTGTATGTGATTGTGTGTTAATTTAGCAATGGCTGCGAGCAATAACAGTTTCATAAGTAAACCAGCACGCGGATGGTTGCATCCGGATCATCTAGTGAGCAAAGAAGGGATTACTTATACGGTAAAGGTATGTAACTTATTACCCCGGCTGAATGTTTATAATTTTGTAAGAAATTGAATTTTTTGTTATACGTATGCATATAGGAGCCCCTATAAATAAATTGCAGATATAATTGAGTGACTCTACACGAAAAAAATTAGTTGAAAATATACAATGTAAACTATTTTTATACAAGACTTTGTTTTTGAGAAAAACGAATATTCATTACCTGTTCTGAACTGTGTCTTGACTCAGCCATGTCTTTAAGTGTTAAGATAGTCATGCTGATAAAAAGGTATAAACAGGAATGCCAAGGGAAGCTAATATAACTGATATAAAAGAAGCTTTGCTATTGGTAGATTACTTCCTTCCTGGTTTGCATCATTAGTTACAGGATACTCTACATTTATTTCTTTCGTATTAATTTTTTCTTTTTTATAATGTAATAGGAGAAAATTTATTTTTTCCTTTAATTTTATACATTATAATTTTTCTGTTGAAAAATTACAGTACATAGGATGTCTCGAAGTATACACCTCTATGAAGAGCTTAGATTTTGAAACACGTTCGTGCGTAGCTAAGTAAGTTATTCATGTACTTGAATTCTAATAAAATGACTCTATTATAGTTGATTCCTAAGCATACATATGCTTTAAACAATATTTTATTTTTTATCAGGGAATGTATAAATAGAGTTTGCGAAGCTGCTGGATTGAAGTCTGCTGATAAGAAGAGATGGGTATTATATGCTTCAAAATTATTATATTTGCAACACACACAAAGAGATAATTGTTTCTGTACATAAACCTTATTACACATTTTCTCACCAGGTTGACATGAAAGTGTTGAGAGCCATAGCAGATAAGCCCTGTATGGAGCATACTGCAACCAGTGTAAACCTGACCATCAGCAGTTGCAGTTTATCCTTAAGTAACATCGAAACCGGACATATCATAGCTAGACACGATATGCCACGTATATCTTTCGCATCTGGCGGTGATACGGTAAAGAATATATATTGAATAGCATAGTTTATACATATTTGAATGTAGAGTGGAGCGGAGCTAAAAACTCCGTTACTTAGAAGTGCGCCACTTACAATATCTCGTAGAAGACCGTTAAAATTTTTTCTCTTGAATCAGAACTGCTAAACCGTGTGAAAGAATAGCCCGATACATATGTATGAGACGTCTTTTTTGTTTTGAAAAAACAAGAGAGAGAGACAAATTGTATCGTTAGAAAATAGAATCTCACTTCTTTCAACAGGAGATACTGGATTTTGTTGCGTACGTTGCTAAAAATATGCAAGAGTGGCGTGCTTGTTACGTACTCGAATGCAAGGGTGGTTTAGCGCAGGATGTTATATCTACTATCGGACAGGCGTTTGAGCTCAGGTTCAAGGAATTTCTTACGAAACCGGGGTCTCTGCAGTAAGTCTTGGCGTAATTAAATGCATTGGCGTCTCTATCAAGTTCGCGACCTGTCAATCGTTAATTTCCCACATTTATTCGTAGCCCTGCGCTGAACGGTGTGAGGGAAGCGGATAGAGATTACTACAACGATCTGCCAGGGAAGGTACCGCCAGACATCGGCCCACCGCCAGTACCTCCTCTGCCAAACACAGCGTCCACTTTGCCCAATTTGAGGCATCATCACAATCACGCATCCCGTAGTCACACGCAAAATACCGCGGTTGATTCGTTCTCCTCCGCTGTTGATAGGCATCAACAATGGGCAGGTAATGGTTCGCATGTAACGATCTCACTAGAATGTAGCGGAAGTGACGCTTTTATGTTCTTCCAGAAACTGGAAACCTGATAGATTTGAATTCAGACGGAACTATATCCGCATCAACAAACTTAAATACTGTGCCTGAACATAATTATGTAAACGACAATGTCATAGCTACGAACAGGGACAACCATCGTGAGCCGGCTTCGCTTTTTGACGTTTTCGATATGGGTGAATATGTCACTTTATTTTCTTTATTGTCAACATTCCTAATAAAAAGATACCTTTTTTTTTTTAATACACGCATTAGCCTACCTTTTATTGCTCTTGTTCTTTTATCTACTACTTGTATCTTAATTATATGAATTTTAGAACCATTTAGTTCAGCAATATCGGATATGAATAGACTAAGTCCTCGATCGCAGAAGCAACAATTGAAGCAGGAAATTTGGTTTCACGGAAGTGTCAGTCGATCTGAGGCGGAATCTATGCTTACTAGAGTAAATATATTCATTTCACAAAATCGCGGAGTATATAAATTGCTTCTCATCCCGTTCCACATGATTACCGCGATCTTTCTATAATATTGTTTCACTTCATAAGGATGGTGACTTTTTGGTCCGAGAGTCTCAAGGTTCCCCTGGCCAATATGTTCTGACTAGCATGAATGACGGGACTCCGAAGCATTTATTACTAATTGATCCCGAAGGCGTCGTAAGTATCTCATAAAAGAAATATCCTGATTAGTACTAAAATTATTAATGATAGCTTGCGAAAGTTCGCGATGAAATTTCGATCGATGAGAATAGCAAAGATTTTTACTTGCAGGTACGCACAAAAGATCGTGTATTCGATAGCGTGAGCCATTTAGTGCATCATCATTGTGACAATGTATTACCTATTATATCGGTTGATAGCGTTTTAGTGTTGCGTTATCCTATCCCGAGGCATACAAATTACTGATTTTTGTAATAACGTCGAATAATAATTAAGGCCACAGATTAGATAGCGATTTCCCTGGATAGCTCATATCTTCGCATGCCTTGGCAAGTTTGGACTTCCTGAGATATATTTCGAATTTGTCGGACTCCTTAATCTGTCACACACCAACGTTTTGTGATTGCTTTCATCTATTTGGCGAATTTTTGGATCCCTGAACCACTATAAAACGTGTCAACTCAGGCGAAGGGATTGATATCATTCTTTGAATGTATGAAAATTAAGCACATCCCGTCTTCTTTTTTGAAACATCTCTATTATTTGATTTCCACTTTACTCAAGATCGCTATATATAAGAGAATTTTGTATAATATCTAACTATATTTCAGATACAATATTCCTTTTATATCATGAGTACATTATGGTAATTTAGAAAAATCTTATCGAGGACAATTGTGTACAATGCATTTTATGGTCTTTGCTGATTTTTGTATCATACTTTTTTTTAATGTTCGATTATAAAGAAAAGTAAACGAAACAAATTTTTCAAATGTTTCCTTGCGTTGTTACGTATGCGGGTGCGTTAATTTTATTTTGCAGGTAATATCTATTTTCTCTTATCGATATATAAAACAGTATAAAAGTAATTTTGTGTAACATCTGGCAAAGTAGGGTTGATATTGCAATCGTCTTGTCAGTGTCTTAGTAAATTCAATGATTTCTTCTTCTGTCCTGTACGTGTACATTATGTATTATATAGCGGTGCCAATTAGTCATAATTAACTATATGTAACAATAATTCATATGTATTTAATAAAATTTTTACATCCGGAGGTTATATTTGATATAAATAATTCGTGGATTTCAGTGATACCTTAGAATTGAACTTATTTACAATAACGATCAGCTTTCATTTTGCTTCTTCTATCTAATAGAGTCTCGTGTAAATTTCCGTCTATCTTCGCCTTCTTCAGCTCAGAACGATCGGATTTATTTACTCTCAACTTTTTGTCTTGAAACTTTTGGAATTTTCGTCTAAAATAAAGTATTTTTGATGTTAAAAAATATTTAAAGAACTCAAGAAACAAGAAGGTTAATGAGAGCTTGCACAAATCAAATTGTAAATTTAAATAATATTTTCGATTCGTAGTAGATGAAACGTATAGCATTTCAATAGCGTTGAGAATCAATATAAATGCAAAAACAATATACGATTGATCCTTTATACAAGTATTAATAAAATTTCATACTTACACATAATTTACTTCGACATCTGCCAGTGAGCCTTGTTCCTCTTTTGGTATATCCCAACTAGGACTCTGAGAACGTTGTGTTATACTTCTTATGACAATATATTCCGATGGGCCAGCTGTTCTATTTTGGCAAATTACATCATCGTCACTTGTAACTGATATAAAACATCCTGTACTATGCAATATAGCAAGTTTGTTATCCTACAGAATAACGAGAAGAAAGTTTATGTTACATTTTTAAGAAGCACAATACATACAAAAAATATTCGATAAACTTTCGAAGATGAAAAAAATTTAAAGCACGTATTGCTTATCAACAGAGGTCTTTTAGGTATCCTGAATGGGAAAAGGACAATTACTTGAAAAATCGGTTCCCATTGTTCGATAGGACCTACAGCATCGCTTCGTCCAACAACAATGCCTTTCTTGTCAACGCCAAGATATTTGCCATATCCTGACTTGAGAGCGACTTTGGTCTCGTTTATAGGAAACGCTGTTAAAATTTCTTCCGGCGATGGACCTTCGCCTTCATCATGTGGCGCACCGAGAGTGAAGAGTCCATTGTCAAGTGCTTTCAGGTAAGTACGATCCCCAAATTCTATAGCTATCGTTCCCGTAATTTCGAATATATTTTTAACCTTCCACCATCCTCCTACAAGATAAATTGTCGATCACACAGGTAACTGTTCACCTTTATATAATAATAATTAAAATAATAACAATAATAAACAATAATTACCATGAATAACAGTATCTCTGTCCTCCACAGTTACATCCTGCTCCTTCTCTTGTTTCTTATGCTTACGCTTTTTCGGCCTGAAAGGATAAGTCACGTATCATAGGATACGCATACATAAAATATTAATCTGCGACTACAGAGAGAGAGAGAGAGAGAGAGACGATGAGACACGAATGGTACCTCGATTTTTCACCTTTCAGCACTAACTTTCCCGTCTTCACTTTTTCGTACTCTGACATTACGAAATTTTTCTACGTTCAATTAGGACTTATCACGAAGTCGAGTGCGATCAACAACTGATGATATTTTACACTGTATGAAAACAAGAACCGGAGGTTAGGTTCTTAAATTGCGAACTGTTGGATTTTTTTTTTTAAATAACAAACGAAAAGCAATATATTTTACTTGTAAAAACGTCTTAACGTATAAAAAGAAATCTTTTCACAAGTTAATCTTGTTCTACCGCGATTTTATTTTTTTATTTTATTGACATGTCGCTCAAAGATACCTTTCTTCAACAACCTCATTGTCGTAACTGATTGAGAAGTACCAGTAATCTCTAATCGTTTACGATCGCCTCCGCTGCGGCGCTGCGCGCGGATGGTAAACAAATGATCGTTGTTATTTACCTATTGCGAGTTACCAACATTCTTCTTCACTAACTTATTCGAAATTTAATAAGGAATCGAAATATCTAAGCCTCATTGTCGTAACTGATTGAGAAGTCATGTAATCTCCAATCGTTTACGATCGCCTCCGCTGCGGCGCCGCGCGTAGAGGGTAAATATATGATCGTTGTTAATTATTTACCTATTGCGAGTTACCAACATTCTTCTTCACTCATTTATTCGAAATTTAATAAGGAATCGAAATATGTAAACATTATTGTCGTTACTGATTGAGAAGTACATGTAATCTCCAATCGTTTATGATCGCCTCCGCTGCGGCGCGGCGCGTAGAGGGTAAACATATGATCGTTGTTAATTATTTACCTATTGCGAGTTACCAACATTTTTCTTCACTTATTTATTCGAAATTTAATAAGGAATCGAAATATGTAAACATTTTTGTATTAACTGATTGCGAAGTACTTGTAATTTCTAATCGTTTATAATGTTTGGCCAAAAACAACACACTAATGATGCCGCAGCTACCGTATTCCCCAGACCTGGCCCCCTGTGACTTTTGCTTGTTTCCGAAACTGAAGAGGCACATGAAAGGACGACGCTACGCTACGATTGAGGAGATAAAGATGGCATCGAAGGAGGAGCAGAACAAGATCACAAAAAATGATTTTTTGAAGCTCTTCGAGGATTGGAAAAAACGTTGGCACAAGTGTATAAT